GGAAGGAAGGAAGGAAGGAAGGAAGGAAGGAAGGAAGGAAGGAAGGAAGGAAGGAAGGAAGGAAGGAAGGAAGGAAGAAAGAAAGAAAGAAAGAAAGAAAGAAAGAAAGAAAGAAAGAAAGAAAGAAAGAAAGGAAGGAAGGAAGAAAGAAAGGAAGGAAGAAAGAAAGAGTAGTTGCTTCAGCTCTTAGAGCACTGGCTTCCAAATACATGTAAGGCAGACTGAGAAATGTGTTTCTTCTCACGCAGCCCACTGCAGGGAAGTGTTTTTCTCCTTTTTCTATTCTTAAACCACCAGTCTGTTATCAGCTCATATGTCTAACATGAAGCCTTAGCAATTCAGACTTAACATTTCTCTTCAGATTTCACATTTTCTTTAGGAACATGTATTTTGTAATCTGAATTCTTATTTTCATTTTATAACAGCAATATATGCTGGAGTGCTTTTTTTTTAATGTAAATACACAACAAAAATAAGAAAAGTAAAACTCCATATCATTCCTTCCTCCAAAATTAAATGTGTTATGTCAATGTCTATAGAATAGTCAATATCTATAGATACAGACATATATATTCTTTGAAATTGGTTCAGACTTACACATTTCATCTTATAGGCTGATTTTTCCCCCAGAATATTTGGATATCTCTTTTTATTATAAATTTTCAATAGATGACCATCTACAATATTGTTAATAGCCTTAAAAAATAATGCTTTTGTTTAAAGTACTTCTTAAACTTCTTAGGAAACTAGAGGCAGCATTGCAAAGTAAATTTTTTTAATGTAAAATTTGTTAGTTAAGCTATTGTTCCATTGAGAATAAGGCTAAATAACAAAACATACATAAAAGAAAAGCATTATTGCTCTCACAGTACCTTTTATGGCCATATACTCTAGCCTAGCGCAGCCTTCTAGGAAATGGTGGTAAGCCCTCATCTCTGCTTCTGTTATCCGCACTGAGGTGTAAGGTAAGTATCTCGGGTCCTGCTGCCCACACTTCTTACACCAGGAAGCCATTGGATTCCAGGGGATGGTGCCCGAAGCACTCTCCCTCCATTCCTCTCAGCGCTGCACTCACATGGATGTGTTCAATCCCTTCTCCTGGCTAATCTCTCTCAAGTTCACTCAAGGTCATTTCATTGCTGAGAGTTGATCCTTTGGATTGGTGAGTGCTCACAGGATTACAGGCCCAACAGACTACCAGATTTCCTCATTTGGAAATGAAAGGAAAACTGGGGGATGAGGATGTCAGGATAGAGAGGGAAATCCGAAAGTCCATGAGAGTCAGAATTTTTTTTAGAGGGATCACATCATGAGACATACAGCAGGCTACTGGAATATAAAATAAAATAATAGGGATACATTTTTTATAGAATGCTCTGAAGAAAATTTATTCCAGGCCACAATTCTCCCCTCTTTCTCTTCCAACCTCTTCAGGCTGCCAAGGAATTAAATCCAGAGAATTAACAATGCAGCCAACAGAAATCACTGTCTAGGCAACATCAATATGTTGCACCATCTGTGCAACAGGGTTTAGCACTATGGTAAAGGCTCAAATCCTAAGATGGGATGCAGAGTGTCTCCTGAACTACTTCTAGATCAGGTGCAAATACATAATCATGACTGTAGTGAAGGAAGTTCTTTGATCTGATCACAACTTCTCCCCAACTTACTACCTCTTGGGGAAAAGTGAGTTCACCTTTCAGAACTGTGCTGTGCAGAATGTGGTATATTCAGAGGGAGGCCACTTTTTCATAATGCATTTTATTTTTGGTCCTTCAAGCTTAATGGTTTTGCTTATTAATGTTGTACTCTAATACTTAAGGAAAGAGCACAATGTGAAATGTCAGATAAGTAATAAATAATTTTGCATACAAACTTCTAATTTTTAT